CCCACCCCCCCTCAACACCGCCTCCGCCAGCGACCCGCCCCGGGGCCTCCCCCCGCCGGGGCCGGGGCCAGGCCGAGCACAGGCCGCACCTGACCCGTCCCAGCGCTGTCCTCGCCGCGGTGTCCTGCTCTGAGTGATTTCCTGCTGCACGTCGGCTCAGATTATTTATGTACGTTCAGTCACGTTGTGTCTTTAACGGTACAGGAAACAGTATGGGAAACGGTAAAAGTTACTTCATCTGACAAATAGCAATGATACCTCATTCGGTACATCTGCTGTTGCCAATTTTCAGCTGGAACTCAGTCCCTGAATTGGGTCCTTTGTGATGGGCCTCAACTGCTGAGTTGGCTTATCACAAATAATAATGGGACGTTGTAGCTATAAACCCTGAAAATGATGAGGTGTAAGAAACCAAAGTAAAGCCAGAGTCACATACTGGGTTTGCGGGGTGAAGAAGAGCTTTGCTTTCAGGGAAAGGCAGGCAGCACGCGGGGGAAAGTACACCTCGGCAAGGCTCCACGGGGCAGATGCGGTTGCTGTTCCAGTCTCTGTTGGCAGATGGGAGGACATTGCTACAGAGCATGAGAACACGAGGCATTGCGCCTGCGCTCAGCAGAGCAACAAAGACTAAAGGGTCTGAGGAGAATTCATCCATGTCCCACTTGACCACAGCGAGATCTCACTGCGACGAGGGAGAAGTGCATGAAGAAAGTTATTTACAGAAACTGAGCAGGAGCCATCCTGGCAACGCAGTGGAGTGTGACGGGACAAGGCACTGTGCCTGAACGTAAAGCTGCTCGGAAAGGAGCTGACTTCTTTTGCCAAGAGCTGTCAGCTGTGCACTCTCCCCGGGAGTCTGGCACCTTTGCCAGGCCACGTTACGCAGATACCTTCCCTTGTCTCACCTGCTCCAGTCTGGCCTCTAGCCAAGTGCTTAGAGCACTCTGCTAGGAAGCTGAGGGTTGCTTTCAAAGTTGCAGTCTCATTCAAAATACTGACTTAAAAACATGTGTCTGTAGCATAAGCACTAGAAAACTGGGCTTTCTAAGGTGAGCCTCTTTCAGCGTTTTACGTTGTAAGACACTATGTGTAAAGGACTACTTGTAACTGAATGGGCTTACATCTGAGTCACCAATGAATGCCCTAACTACTGTGATGGTAATGAAAAACTTCTTACAAGTTCCCACTGTCCTTTATGGGGGCCGTGATATGATCTAGACACCTACTGGATTGGTTCCTGTAGATAAGAGGAGTAGGTTGATTCCTAATTTGAGAGTGTTGCTTGGATATATGCAGGAGTGAAGCTCCAGTCAGCTCTGCAGACGCAGAACTGGATTTCAAAAAACAGTGGCTAAAACCTTTTTTTTGACACCAAAGCATTTCACTTTCAGAACAATGTTTGAAAGAATTTTGTATTTTAAGATTCCTTCGCGTGTTTATAAAGAGACTTCACTTTTAGCTAAAAATCTGTATACACCACTTCACTTGGTGTCAAAGTATGCTTTGTATAATTTGAAATTATTGGGGTTTGTACATTTTAGTTTGTTGACCCTTTTAGAATGTTCTTCTAGGGAAATGAATTTCCCGGCTGGGCCAAAATAGTCAGCAAACCAACGATCCATCCATCTCTATTCACGATGATATACTTGGTGACTCTGGCTGTATCCAGCAGCAGAACTTTAAGGGCAAGCAGGAGGAGCAGAGCAAGTACGGACGTGAATGAGATATTCTGCCAAAATGCTTATTGGAGAGTTGATTTCTGCTACAGATTTGCCATGTCTCTAAAGGGAGATTGAGAATTTTATTGGCACCATTTAAGTCTCTTCCTGCATCTAAAATGGACCAAGTGAACTGCACTCCGAAAGTGCCTTTTGTACTCCATAGAGAAAAAGGCAGCCTAAGTAACCAGTGTGGACTCATGCTGTGCCGGTGTAAAGCCAGGTAAGATGAATCCCACTTGCACTGTACTATGTTCCAGATACAGAAGGCAGAATTGCTTAAAAAGAATAAAACAAACCTGCAATTCAGGTTTTACAAATCATGCTAATATGGAATTGGAGCTGTTTTCTGTAATAAATACCTCCTGGTTTGGATGGACTGTGATTCCATCTGTCTGACAATCCCTAATTATAAGGTCTAATTCTTACCCAGCTGGAGCGCTTTTTACTCAGCGCTGTGGGGGGAGTGCTGACTTCCATTACGGTAACAATAAACTCCCAGAGCACCCAGAGAGAAGTGGACTTCATAGATTTTATTCTTAGAATATCAAGGGTAAATCTTGAATCCGTTGAAGTCAATGAAAAACTCACACCAA